GGCCAAATCACCCCCTCGTCTGCAATGCCGGCCTTCGTAGTAATTTACTAATAGCACTTGCCCCGCCGTTTTGAAAGGTGAGGAATCTTTGTCTTTGTGTTCACTCACGTAGACGTCCACGGGCTCGCTTGTTGGGCCCCGCGCCGTCAGGGTCTCCCCGGGGCCCGCGGGGCCCTCACTCGGCCGCTGGTAAACAAACTCCGTGCCAGCCGCACCGAATCGGCCCGGCCGGTCGATCGCCCAGTTCCCATTGACAATTGGCACGCCGGTGTGGCTCATCAGGGCTGTGCACACACACATGCACACACGTACACATTTACATGTATATATGTACACATGTACACGTACATGTACACATATACACGCGCACACACGCACACATGTACACGCGCATGCAACAACAACCACTGTTTGCCATTAAGGGACGGTGACATCACCATGGCGCTTCTGCCAGGCTATGTTTACTTTAAGGCCATTTGAAGTGTCAAACGCATGCTGGCAGGAAGTCACGGAACAGACCCAGGTGCCATTGGTTGAATGACTGAGATGACTGGCCGATGCACCACCGATGCCCCCTACTGTGAAAACTTGCTGTTTAAGCCACCCAGCGCTTCGCTTGTTGTTGTGAGCGTTGCTCCTCTGCCCTCCGCCGTTGCTGGAGGGCGACTCCTCCAACTGCCCAGTAGAGTCCTTCAGGAGCCTCTTGCACAAAAGCCAATCTTGACTCCGCTGATAGCAGTCAATGGCAAGTCCGTGAGCCCCGATGAAGGCTGGCACGACACAGAAGGGGGTGGGTGGCCAGCACCACGCCCGTCCGCCTTTGTCTCCCTAGTGACGATGTTTACACACTCTACCAGATACAAATTTGAGACCGAGTCGACCTAGGTGAGGCCCGGGACCGCTTCAAATAATCGTCACTGGTGTTAGCTAACCAATGCACTACCGCTCCCCACGCGCCACACACACGTACGCACACGTATGTATGTACACACCGTGTGCGCACATACCCAGGTAGTTGCGTGAGCGGGTGAGCTCGGAGACGCGGATGTGGGTGGCGCCTGCGGGGATGGCCACGACACGGTGGTAGCCTGGCTCGAGTGCAGCCCTGCGGAATGTCCCAGCTACCACGCGGCAAGCGCCGCCGTCACCACCGCATGTGCCGCAGCGGTCGTCCGCCAGCCCCGAGCCCAGCAGCCCGTCACAGCCCACGCGCTGCTCGCCACACAGGGACACACCGCATCACGCCACGCCACACCACACCACACAGCGCCACACCGCGCCACCAAGGCCGGGATTAGGAGTGGAGGCCCGGATGTTGGGCGACGGGGGCACTCACCTTGCACTGCCCGGTCACGCACACGTGCATGGCCGCGTCCGTGTGTGCAGGCTCAGCGGGGTGCCCAAGGGTTCCAGGGGGCCCAGTCAAGGGGGCGGGGGGGCCCTCCCCCACGCAGGAGGTCCCGTCGACGACCTGCTCCGCGTGGCGTACGTAGAACTTGAATCCAACCGCTTTGCAGTTCAGCTCACAGCGGTGCTCCACGCGCACTACAGCGCACACACCATCACCATTACCACCATCACTACCACCGCCATCATTACCACCATCATCACAACCACCATCACGACCATCACCACCCCCCTCCCCAGCGTGCCACTGACAACGACCGTGAGTGGGAAAAGAACGGGGAGTCACCGGGTTCGTAGCGCGATGAGCAAATCAACGTACCACCGCTCCCCACACACACAACAGCAGCTAATGTTCACCACTACGTGGTGGTGACATGGCGACAGCTATTGTACCAGGCTAGGTGCACACACACAACTATTTGGTGATTCAAATAGAGGGGAGGGGGTGAGGGTGGGAGGTGAAGAGGCCCCCCTGAACTTGGGATGATAACAGGAACCCCTTGGGCCACCCTGGGTTCCCCCTGGGCATCTCCAGGGCGCCCCCTGCCCTCTCCATCCATGTGACTCGTAACCGCAGCTCCCGGGACACAGCAGAGGGGGAGCAGCTTCCCTGGGGGAGCCCACGGAGTCTCCTGACTGGTTCCGTGCCGCGTGCCGTGCGGTTTCATAATCAGAATCACAATTATGCTGAAGGAATAATGTTTATGTGGAGGGACTGTTATGTGAAGGAGGTGGCTTATATGCCTGTTCCTTCACAATTAAATATAGGACCGCAGAGATTGGGCAATTGTTGGTAGCACCGGTTCTGGCTGCCTTCCCATGCCTCGAAATCGCTCACTTCCTCTCCCTCCCTCTCCCTCCCTCCCTCCCTCTCCTCCCTCTGCTCCCTCTCCTCCCTCTCCTCCCTCTCCTTTTTTTTACGATCAGTGGAAACAAGAAGATGCTCGGTGTATTCGGCACTTTGCTTCGTTCATCATTTCGTAATTTTCTTTTCTTTTTAAATAATAACTTTGCTTTATGTAAACCCCCACCTCTCGCTCGCTCACTCTCTCACTCACTCTCTCGCTCTCTCTCGTTCTGCACGCAGCCCTTCTCGCAGTCTGACGGCCTCCGACGGGTAGCTCATAACTGCATGCAGAGCTCCCCATCATCTGCCACCGAGCACATGGCCTCCTCCATTGCCCACTGCTCCTTGAAGGCAGGCACGGCGTGGGTCAGCCGCGCATGGCGAAACTCCAGCCACACCCTGGCTCCGACCAGAGCGCGGAAGATGCCCACGCTGCTGGCCGGACGTTTCCCCTCCAGGGCCACCTTCCTCGCCCTGTAAATGGCGAGCTTGACATAGCCGACGAGCACGTTGACCAGCCCCTGAAGATGTTGGGGTCCGTCGCCCTTTTGGTATCCAAAGATGAGGACCGTCGGGGAGAAGTGGAGGCTGAACCTTAGGAGGATGTTTTTGAGGACCTTGAACAACAAGTCCAGGCTCTTGCACTCCACGTATTGGTGCGCCACCGTCTCCACTTTACCGCAGAACCGGCACTCCGGGGACGTGTCGGTGAAGTGCGCCAGGGAGGCGTTGGTGGTCATGGTGCCGTGGGCGATGCTCCAGCTGAGGTCACCAATGCGGTTGTATGTCGGGATGGAGTAGAGTTGCCTCCAGCAGCCTCTCCGGAGAGATGCAGGGCAGGGCTTTCCTCCAGGCATGGTCCTTGTGGTTCCTCAGGGTGTCCTGTTGGTGAAACCGGACCATGTAGGAGTAGAGCACATTCCTCGTTACATTTGCGAAGGCCACCTCCGGTAGGTTTTCTAGCCGGCACAGGTTGTGATTCGCCTTCGCTTGTCGGCATTGGCGATGCAGTGGCACGACGGAGAGCTCTGGTGGAGAGGGACCGAGAGGGGCCTCGTCATCCCCAATGCCGATGGGGGGCGTTCTCCCCGCTGCCGCTGAGAAGGCTCCCTTGGCTTCGGCCAGGTTCCGGGCAGCCACACGGAGCGACTGCAGCCCTGTCTTTGCGGCCATATCTGCTGGTCCGAGCCACCGGCCCCGTGTTCCAGGCTTCACCAGATCTCCCATCCTGGTGAGCCGCGCATTGGTGAGGCGCCTCTCCATGCCGGGGGTGGCAGTGGTGGATGGCAGTTCGAAGACCAGATCTTTGGCCAATCGCGGTTGGTTCAGCCTCCGGCGAGGGAGCTCCATGTCTGCAGGACGTTCCTGTAGAAATGTGGCAGCTGTCCCAGTGGGAGGCCCTGCAGGTCCAAGTAGAATAGTTGTTTGGAGCACTGCAGACCCCCCAGCTGTTTCAGGAGGAAGGAGGCCGTGACGCTCCAGGTCGGTGCAGGGGTGGCATGCAGGAACTTTTGTGCGGCCTGCAGTCGGAAGGTGGCCAGCTGACTCCGCACGTACACCAGCCCGTGACCGCCCTCGATCAGTGGCAGCCGCGACCCGGTGTCCTCCGCCCGACCAGAAGAAGTCGAGGACTCGCTTCTGAAGTGCGTTGATGAGGCTCATGGGGGGGTGCAGGGAGAAGAGTCGGTGCCACAGCATGGACGTCACCAGCTGGTACACTACCAACGTCTTTGTCCTGAAGGTGAGGAACTTGCACAGGCGACTCCAGGTGCCCAGCCGCTCCTTCACCTTCTCCTCTAGCTCTACCCAGTTCCTTTGCGGTGGTTCCTCCTCTGGTCCGAGGAACACCCCCAGATGGTGCAGCGATGTTGTGCTCCAATTGATGGTTTTTGCCTTCTCCGGACACTCGGTCATGTCCCACGCTCCAACCAGTAGGCCGCTGCACTTTTGCCAGTTCATTTTGGATGAGGAGGCCTTCTAAAAGACCTCCTGACACTCGTGCAGCAGGGCGACATCATCCAGGAAACGAAGGATGAGGAGGATGTCGTCGGCGTATGCCGTCAGGACCAACTTGACACTTGGTTCCCTGAGCACCAGGCCGTTGAGTCTCCGCCTTATAAGACTCAGGAAAGGCTCTAATGCTAAGGCATAAAGTTGGCCCGACAATGGGCATCCCTGTCTCACTCCTCGCTCGAATTTTACCAGGGCAGTGAGGGCGCCGTTGACCTTGATCATGCACTCCGCCTTGGTGTAGAGTAGGCGGATCATTCGGACAAAGCCATCTCCAAAACCAAAGGTCTTGGTGTTGTGGGGCACCATGCCTCTCACGATCCGCCAGAAGATGTGGCTAGGTGCACGGAAGTGGTACGGCCCACGCGATGGGTTGGTGTTCATGCGCTTACGCAGGAAGGCCAGGTACTTCAGCTTGTTCCTGTAGAAGTTGCCCGAGATGTTAATTCCCTCACATCGTACAACTACCACTTTGTGACCAATTAGGATCTGCTCTCTTCCTCCCTCCCTTCCTCCCTTCCTCTCTCCTCCCTCCCTCCCTCATTTTTATTATCAGAGGAAACAAGAAGATGCTCGGTCTCCTCCCTCCCTCCATCCTGCTTAGGGAGGTTAACGACAGCTGCGCTCGTTACAAACGCCATGACGGTTTTGTTGCAATCGGCACCAAGAAGGACGCGGAGTTATTTATTTTGCTTGTTCACCCAGAGGTAGGGGTGTTGCTGCAGCGGCTGCTGCTGCTGTGCGTTCAACGTCCCCGCGTAGGGGTGGATGCATGGAAGAGAGAGGTGCGACCCGGGGGGAGCACTCAGGGTGGTGAGAGTGCAGTGAGAGAGGGGAGTGGAGGAGGAGGACAGGAGACCGGTGAGAGCAGTGGAGACGGTGACGCACCAATACGTGGAGTGCAAGAGCCTGGACTTGTTGTTCAAGGTCCTCAAAAACATCCTCCTAAGGTTCAGCCTCCACTTCTCCCCGACGGTCCTCATCTTTGTGTAATGAAAGCCTATGTCCGGCTCACGTGGTGATCGGCTCTGCCGGTCCTGCTCTACAGCCAATGGGGGGAGAGCCTGGGAGCATGGCCCTGGCGTGATCGATGGATGTCAGCTAGGATAATTGGTTCTGCTGGTCTTGGCCTCAGCCAATGGGAAGACAAGTCAGGGGCGTGGTCCCGGGAGTTGATGGGGGAATCTGGAACATTCAGCGCAGGCTAATAAGGATTGGCTGGAGCGTACCACGTGACCCAGTCATTAAATAAGGGAGGAGCCGAGGGACACATGGTCAGACAAGGAACGAAGAGAGAGAGGGGCCACGCGCGAGCGGGGCTCCGAGTGCCACATGGCGGTGCATCTCTTGCGATCTGTCTGCCCACTTCCCGTTACCTGCCAGCAACGGGGAGTGCTTGTGAACTGAGATAAGTATATAAAAGGACCGATTCCACAAGCCGTCTCCAGAGTATTATTACATTGGTGTCAGAAGTTCTTCTGGGACCGTTTGGACAATCTTTCTCGATGTCCAAGCACCTCAGAAAAAAGAACCCACCCGACCCTCCATCGGAGGAGGTTGTGGAGACGGACGAGGACGATGTGCTGGGAGCTACGGCTCCTCTGCCTCCGGCTGCTGCTCACCTTGATGCCGCTCATCGTTGACGGGAGGAAGAAACGACCACCTCGAGGGCGGACGAAGGATGGCGGCTGATGGCGGAGCAGATCGAGTCGCTCCGCGCGATTTTGCTCAATTTGGTGACAGCGGTCGCGTCCTCTACGGCCCTGGGTCGGCCGCCAGCGGTTCAGCTTAATGCCGAGGACCAAGATCTTCGGCGGGAAACGACGTCCGCCATCGCTCCTGCCACGCGGGGGGTGGCCTCCATCTTGGGCGGGGCGACGGCGACGGAGCCGTTGGACGCCATCTTGCACGAGGCTGACACCATGCGGCCACCGGACGCCATTTTGACGGAGACGCGCAGAACGCGGGAAGTGGAGTATGAGACACTCGAGGCGTCTGCCTGCCACCGCGGACATCATCTTCCACAGATCAAAGAATTTATCGCCGGGGGCAATTGGAGTGCTTTTACGTGGCGCTTCGAGTCGGCTTTTAGATCCGTGCGTTGGACGGAGGCGGAGGCGCTGGAAGCGTTGCCCACGCTGCTGGATGATGTTTCCCTGGCGATCTTCCGATCCATCCCGGCGTCCAAGAAGAAGACGCTTCGTGATGCTTTCGCAGAAAATGGCGGAGTTTTACGACCCACCGACGGCAGCCACGAGAAAATTTATGTCACGTCGTCGAGGATCAGAGGAATCGCCTTTGGCTTACCGGGGGGCGCTGGTGGCGTTAGCCATGGCCGTTTACCCCGACGCGACTGGCTGATCACCTCGATCCTCTCATTCTTTCCTGTATGCTGGAGCTGTCCCAGGAACTCAACATCTCGCTGCCGGTATGCGGCCACGAACCGCTTACATCGCGATGGGTGGCGCGCTGCTTGGACGCTAAATTTAACCTCAAGCGCTGGGATCAGATGGCGGCATGGACGGGAAAACCGGAAATTGATGGCCCACCTTTGGGGTGGTCTCCACGACGGGTCGTCCACTGCTCCAATGACTCCGGCGACGACGAGGTGGTGGCTGCTGTTCCGCACTGGATTCTGAGACGATGGCTGCGCGACCAGCATGGTGACTACGCGGGCCGACCACGTGCGGGGGCTGGGTCAACCGACCGTCGGCCGACGACGGCCACGTGTTTCAAGTGTGGCCGACGAGGCAATTTTGCCCGCGACTGCCGCTGCCGACCTCTGCCTTCGCCGCTTCCGCCGAGTGGACCTCCATCTCCTCCACCGGGCGCGGAGCCGCGACACCCTCGGGCGAGTCGGCACAAATCGGACACCCGGCAGGTCTTGTCACATCATTTATCCACTCGCACACATAGTTGCACTTCAAATGATAACTGTGGTTCTTCTGTGTCATTACCACGCTCTACTACACAATTGAAAAAATTGGCTCGTAGGGTTGTGGCTGCGGCGTCGGGCTCATCGACGGTACGAGGTACCATCGAGGGCATTGACGTCCGTATTTTGGTGGACACTGGCGCGTCTGCCACCATCATTTCCGATGTCATTTTTCATCTTTTGTCTATTCCCACGTCACGAATCCGCCCGGTTAATGACGCGTGTGTAGCCGCAAATAGGGGTAGCATGGGTATTTCGGGCAAGTCGATGTGCGTATTGCTATCGGTAATATTACCGCCAAAGGATCGGTGTTGATTTCTCGCTCACTGGCCATCCCATGTCTATTAGGCACGGATTTCTTGCGCCGCATGCCACTTAAGATACTGGTCGACCAGGATTGTTTATAAATGCTGGGGGGTCGTAGGATGTCGTTCTTGCCTTCCCTGCTGGCCCATTCGCCCCCGTGTAACGCAGTTAACGCCATGGTCGCTGCCATGGTAGAGGTTCCATCTGGCTCACAAATGCTTATCCCGCTGTGTTACTGTAAACCCTTTCAGGTTAAGGACGGTGTGAGGGGCGTGCTATTATCCCCGCCGAATTCGGTGTCTAAATCTTTTTCCCTGGTGGCGGCTCAAACAATCGTACGGCCGGGTCAGGCCCCGTTCATACAGGTGTTGAATGGTGACCCGGACCAGGTCGTTGTTCCGGCTGGATCGGTATTGGCTCACGCCACTACCGATTTCACCAGTTTTGACGGAAAGCCACATATTGAAACACCCACCGATGGACGGCCGCACGACCGTTCACAGGAACGGTGGATCGCGGACTTGTGCAGGAAAAATTCCTCTTTATCGAACATGCAAAGGACTTCTTTGCATTCATTGTTATTACGGTATGCGGACGTTTTCAGTAAAAATGATTTGCATCTCGGCCATACCTCGCTTTTGTCGCACCATAATGACACCGGTGCTACGCCTCCGACTTGTATGCACCTGCATCGCATGAGTCCTGCTGAAAGGGAACACGTGCGCGGCGCGGTAGACGAGATGTTGGCGGCAGATATTATTTCGCCGTCCAACAGTCCTTGGGGCGCGCCGGTGGTACTGGTTAAGAAGAAGAATGGTGGAACGAGATTTTGTGTAGATTTCCGCCGGTTGAATAAGATATTCGTGGTGGACGCATATCCTTTACCGCGGATGGACGACTTATTGGACGCTTTATCAGGGGCAAAATTCTTCTCCACCCTCGATCTGTCCTCGAGCTTTTGGCAGCTTCCCCTCGATGACGCGTCGAAACCCAAGACGGCATTCCGCACGCCGCAAGGCCTCTTTAAGTTTAACCGGTTACCGATGGGCTTGAATGCGGCTCCGGCGACGTTTCAATGCCTGATGGAACTGGTACTGGTGGGACTACAGTGGGAGACATGCCTCATATATTTAGACGATATCATCGTTTTCAGCCGCACGTTCGAGGAACACCTCCAACGACTGGAGACTGTTTTTCAGAGAATGCGTTCGGCTGACCTAAAGTTTAAACCGAAGAAATGCCACCTTTTGCAACACTCTGTCCGTTACTTGGGTCATATCGTCAGTTTGGACGGCGTGTCCACTGACCCTCAGAAAACGCAATGTGTCCGAGAGTGGCCCACACCCACTTCGGTGGGCGACGTTCGGCGTTTCATTGGGTTTGCATCCTACTATCGCCGGTTCGTTAAGAACTTTGCCACACTGGCTAAACCACTGCATGTTCTGACGGGCAAAAATCAGAGGTTTAAATGGGGTCCAGAGGAGGAACGCTCTTTTCACTCGCTTCAGGATCACCTCGCCACGGCGCCTACGCTCGACTACCCAGACTTTTCCCAGCTGTTCATCCTTGACACGGATGCTAGCGATATCGGCATCGGGGCCGTTTTATCGCAACGTAAAGACGGAGTTGAGCGAGTGGTTGCATACGGCAGCAGGGTTCTGTCCCCTGCAGAAACACGATATTGCGTGACGTGGCGGGAACTTTTGGCGATCAAACATTTTGTCCGGCTGTACCGGCCCTACCTGTATGGGAGGAAATTCCTCGTTCGCACTGATCACGCGGCTTTGCAATACTCGTTAAAATTGGACCAACCATCAGGCCAACTGGCTCGGTGGTTGGAATCGTTACAGGAATTTTCCTTCGATATCACGTACCGCAAGGGTGCTCGCCACGCCAACGCGGACGCGCTCTCCAGGTTACCACCCATTCCCCCGTGTGCTTGTCTGATGGGTATGCACCGCTGTGCAGCGCCGCCTACCTCGCCCTGTGCGGTTATGGGAGCGATGTCGAACGAGGACAGCCAGGATGTACCAGTGGGCACTGATGATACCCTGCGGCTGCTGCACTCGGTGTGGCTATGCGAGCAGGAGGCCGATGCCTCTCTGGCTCCGCTGCGGAAACTGATCGGGAAACCGAGAGCTCATTTGGCGGGATGGAAATGGCAGATGTTCCGGGGCCGGGCGGGACTATTGATGTGTACTGATGGATTGTTTGACCGATCACGCCTGGTCGTGCCTACATCCCTTCACCATGACCTGCTCCACTCTCTGCACACTGACAAATTAATGCACCTCGGCGTGCAGAAGACTTTGGCCGCAATGCAGAAAGATTTCTTTTGGCCCGGCATGACGGCAGACGTTAACGACTTTGTCCGGTCATGCCATGATTGTGCGAAGAGGAAACAACCTCGGAAACATTATGTGCCGCCACTACGTTCCATTGAGATATCCCGTATCAATGAATTAGTCGCTCTGGACATCCTGGGGCCGTTCCCTCCATCGGCTAGGGGCAACAAATACCTTCTGGTCGGGGTAGAATATTTTTCTCGATTGCCTATGGCCTGGCCTCTGCCTGACTAAACGGCCGCGTCCATCACCGATGCTTTCTTGAACGGTTATGTCATGGATAAAGGGGCACCCGAGAGGCTGCTCACAGATCAGGGACGTAACTTCTCCTCCAAATTGTTCAAGGATGTTTGCGATGCGCTGGGCACCAAAAAAATTCGCACTTCTCCCTTACCATCCGCAAATGGATGGCATGGTGGAACGATTTAACCACACCCTTTCGGCTATGCTTTGTCACATGGTGAGTGAAAAACAGACCGATTGGACGGCCTACCACATGGTTCCTCACGCGTCCACGGGATATTTGCCATTTTTCCTGATGTATGGGTTACAGAGGCGCGAGAGGCCGCCAGATGCGCGATGGCCCGTACGCAGGCAAGGAACGAGAGGTGTGCGCGTCGATCGCGTACTCACATGCCCTGGTTGGTGGGTGATCTGGCATGGCTCCACTGCTCTCAGGTGCCAGCGGGCACATCCCCTAAACTGCACTGGCCTTGGCGGGGGCCTGTGACATTGGTGGACATTCGGAACCCACAGAGTGTTCGCGTCCAATACGGAAAACGTCGGTGGTACGTCCATTTGTCGCGACTCAAACCCTACGTTGACCCGCGTGCCGACCCCTCATCTCCACTTATTGACCTGCCGGGGTCTGCTGTGCCGAATATGCCGCTTGCCTCACCCGTTGATCCCCAGCAGGACTGTGTTGTGCCTCCCGCAGATGAACAGGTTTTGAGGGCTGATGAGACCCCCGCCGTCCCTCCTCCAACGGGACCTACCCCGGATACGACCAAAACCGAACATTCTCCTTCTTCTTCTTCACGTCAACCACTTCCTGCAGATACGGCGGCAAGGCGACCATGTGCAGGAAGCGAAGAGGGTCCCGCGGCGCGTACGCGGTCGAAATCTCCTCCGTTTCGATAGCATTGATTGCCTTGCGGTCCCTTCCCTATTGTTACTGCGCTGCAGGGGCGCCCTAATGTATGTCTGTTGTTCATGGGTGATTTTGTTTTTGTTTTCGGCGCATAGACGCCTGTTTTACCCCTTTCCTTGTTAATGCGTCTTAGACGCCCTAATAAGCAACTTTATGGGATCGGCTTGTCACCCTTTTCCCAGCCGAGACGGCTGACTTTTTCACCGGCGGGGGGTGATGTAATGAGAGCCTATGTCCGGCTCACGTGGTGATCGGCTCTGCCGGTCCTGCTCTACAGCCAATGGGGGGAGAGCCTGGGAGCATGGCCCTGGCGTGATCGAGGGATGTCAGCTAGGATGATTGGTTCTGCTGGTCTTGGCTTCAGCCAATGGGAAGACAAGTCAGGGGTGCGTCTCTTGCGATCTGTCTGCCCACTTCCCGTTGCCTGCCAGCAACGGGGAGTGCTTGTGAACTGAGATAAGTAAATAAAAGGACCGATTCCACAAGTCGTCTCCAGAGTATTATTACATTTGGATACCAAAAGGGCGACGGACCCCAACATCTTCAGGGGCTGGTCAACGTGCTCGTCGGCTATTGCCAAGCTCGCCATGTACAGGGCGAGGAAGGTGGCCCTAGAGGGGAAACGTCCGGCCAGCAGCGTGAGCATCTTCCGCGCTCTGGTCGGAGCCAGGGTGTGGCTGGAGTTCCGCCATGCACGACTGACCCACGCCATGCCGGCCTTCAAGGAGCAGTGGGCAATGGAGGAGGCCGTGTGCTCAGTGGCAGATGACGGGGAGCTCTGCATGCAGTTATGAGCTACCCGTCGGAGGCCGTCAGACTGCGAGAAGGGCTGTGTGCAGAACGAGAGAGAGCGAGAGGGAGCGAGAGAGTGAGCGAGAGAGTGAGCGAGAGAGTGACCGAGAGATTGAGCGAGAGAGTGAGCGAGAGGTGGGGTTTACATAAAGCAAAATTTACCAAATGATGAACGAAGCAAAGTGCCAACTACACCGAGCATCTTCTTGCTTCCACTGATCGTAAAAAAAAGAGAGATGAGGGAGAGGGAGAGAGGAGGGGAAAATAGAGGGGAGAAGGCGATGGAGGAATGGAGTGAAAGGAGAGAGAGAATAAGGGGGGGGGGGGGAGAGAGAATGGAGAGAGGGGTGGGAGATAAAGGGGAGAGGAGAGAGGACACAGGAAATATGTGTCCGAGTGTAAATTGTGTGTGTGTATGTTATGAGCACACATCATCTCCCACCCTCCCCCACCGCCAATCCAGCCTCACTCACCCTCAACTACCCCTCACTCACTGCGCAATATATAGCCTTAAAAGACTGTTGGGGCAAGTGCTGTTAGTAGCACCAATAAAGGAAAATAACGTTAATGAGGGAGTCGGCGGCCAGTAACAACGCCCGGCTGACTTTGTCTCCCTAGTGACAATGTTTTAATACATCGCACAATTAGGCTCAACTGTGGCTGAGTCGACCTAAAGAGCCGGAGGACCAGTTCAGAGAATCGGTCAGTGGTGTTGGCCATGAGTGGGAAACGAACTCGGGTAGGTGGGTTCGTAGTACCGCTCGCATCATCGCTTCTTCTCCCCCACACTCACTCACCCTCAAAATCCCCTCACTCACCCTCAACCCCCCCTCACATCACCCTCAACCCCCCTCACTCACCCTCAAAATCCCCCTCACTCACCCTCAACACCACCCTCACTCATCCTCAACCCCCCCCTCACTCACTAACCCTCAACTCCCCCTACTCCACCCTCAACCCCCCCTCACATCATCAGCCTCAACCCCCTCACTCACTCACCCTCAAACCCCCTCACTCACCCTCAACTCCCCTCACTCACCCTCAACCCCCCCCCCTCACTCATCCTCAACCCCCCCCTCACTCACTCACCCTCAACTCCCCCTCACTCACCCTCAACTCCCCTCACTCACTCAGCCTCAACCCCCCCTCACTCACTCATCCCTCAACTCCCTCTCACTTACTCACCCTAACTCCCCCTCACTCACCCTCAACTACCCCTCACCCTCAACTCACCCTCACTCACCCTCAACTCCCCCTCACTCACTCACCCTCAACTCCCCCTCACTCACTCACCCTCAACCCCCCCTCACTCACTCACCCTCAATTCCCCCTCACTCACCCTCAACTCCC